TAATCTCATAAAACCATAAAAATGGGAAAGTACATAGGGGAAACCCCAGCCTGGATACAATGAAAGGCCATGCACACTTGCAGCCTAACCGAGCTAATACAATACATACTACAAGCCAACATCACAGTTCAGAACTAATTGGATGTTAAAACAAACACTGCAAACTAAATGAATAAGAAAACCAAGGGCAAACCACTGCCACAGCCTAGTGCATCCACAGTCTTCTCAAATTATGAACTAGAGAGAGAGTTTGCATAGTCAATCCAATCCTTAACTGCAGCCTTAATAATCCACACCTCAGGCTGCATATGTCCTTCAAACACCCAAATGCTCTTGGCTTTCCACAGCCACCATAATATGTAAGTGGATAATTGGATTCTCTCCTCTGATATTGCTTGGAAATTCTTGGAGCAAATCCACCACCATCATTGCTTAAAGCTTAGCTGTTCTTGGAAAACTCTGTTCCATTGCACCGGAGCAATTTTCCACACCTTGACTGCTCTATCAAACTGGAATAGCACATGCTCTTGAGTCTCTGCAGCCTCACCACATACTTTGCATATAATGTCTATATGAAGACCCATGGATTTAAGGTTCACATTTACAGGCAAAATGTTAGAGAAGCACTGCCATACAAAGTGTTTTACCTTGCCAAGCACATTCATGTTCCAGCATCTAGCCCTAGCTTTTCTGTTATCTTTTGCCATTAAACTGCTCTCAGCCACCTCAGTTGAACTCACATTCCCAGCAGAAAGCAGATTGTAAGTTCTTTTTACTGAGAACTTCCATTTTTCAACAAAGAAGCACTTCCACTGGTCTGCCATCCTGGGGTTCAAAGTTTTATTCTGCAAGACTCTCTTTGCATCCTCTTCTGCAAACAGAGCCTTTACCAGGGTCTCATCCCAACAACATCCACCTGCCAGAAGCAAATCCTTAACCAAAAACACCTGATCATCAATATGAACGTTTAGAGAAGGTTTCCCTTCTGCAACACCAGGAAACCATTTGTGATCAGATAGCTTAGTTCCAGCTCCATTTCTAACCATAACATTTAAATGAACTTTAAGAACATGAAGAACTGGTGCCCAAGATTTCCACAACCAAAAATTTCCATGAGAGAACTTCCAGTCACAGATAGAGGACTCAGGGAAATACCTGCCCTTTAGCATTTTGGAAACCAGGAGGTCAGGTTGATCAGAATGAGAGCCTCCCACCGTCAGTTTTTGGAATAGCCATCTTCTCCCATGACTTCCAGTGCGGACAGTGCTCTTGTGAACTCCTCTTACTCCACCAGAATTTGGCCATTAACCTACAGATGTTCTTGCACAAGCCAATAAGAATCAGAAAACATGACATCACAAAAACTGGAAGGGCCTGTAGCACAGATTTTGTCAACACCTCCTTCCCAGCAGATGATAGTGTTTGTCCTATTCTTGTTGCATTTTTCGTGTTTATTTTATCTTTCTTTTCCCCCCGTTTTAGGTCGTTTCTTTAGTTTTTAGTCCGTTTCGTGTTTTATTATGTGTTTTCCTTTATTTTAAGTCTCTAAGTGTTTTCGTTTGTTTTTCCGGTTTTCTTTTGTGTTTTGTCGTTTTTGGTGTGTAGGTCGGGAGCTTTGGGTGAATTTTCTCTTCAGGAAAAATTGGTTTCGAGAGAATAATTAAATAGATGGGTTCGTTAGCTACGCGTAGGAAAAAACGAAACTCAATTCCGAATTCGGACGAGCTCAAACGAGGCGAAAACACAAAATGGCGTAGTGCTGCCTGGGTCGCAACCCGCGACCCGCGAAAAAAACAGAGAAGAATGCCCAGCGACTCGGGCGACTCAGAGGACGATCGGCAAGGGCATATTTTTACCGATCAGGGGATCAACAAACCTAACCTCGCACTCGTGGGCTGCTCGTGATGTGGTCCGCATATCTTATGGGTCCACTGCTTTGGCGTGGGCCACGCTCTGTAATTCGGCTGCATATTTTCAGGAGTTCTGTGTTCAGATATTTCCAGGTATAACTATTTTTTTCCTATTTTGTTTCCATATTGTTGTCTGTTTTTCTTTTTCTATTTTTTATTAAGTTTAAAGCCATTTTATTTCTCAAAACATAATAATATTTTTTTGGTATCAAAATTTTATATATAATATTAAATTAACCTTCATTTTACGGTATCCGGTTCGACAATCATATTGTATGTGTTGTCGTATGAATTTGTAACAACATAAGGGGGTTCAGAGTTGTGTGTATACATCGAATATTTAGTGTATTTTCTGTAAATAAATCAAGAAAAATTGAAAGGAAATCAAGAACATGAATCTTTGTTTCTGTTTTCTTCGGACGAAGGAAAAGAAAAAGTTCAGAGAGAGATAAAAAGTAAAGCCCCCTCAGACTTCTCCCCATTTTCTTTTTGATGTCCATCATCGGGTATCTATATATATATTCGTTTAATAGGCCCTTATATGTTAGGCCTTTACAATATTTTACAAAGACAAATGTAATAACTCAAAATGTGACCGCGCAGGGCCCAACAATAATAAATAAATGACGGAATAAATAATGGTTTCAATCGATATTTGTCTTGTCTACAATTATTGTGTCTCTCGGGGTGGCCTCTTTATAATATGTGGTTCGGACTGGTAACGTTGAATTCTGATTGGCTCGAATACGGGCAATCTTGACTTTCGGGGACTCATTTAATATTAATAAATGTATCGAATAACCTGCTATTTTTATATTTACTTAATATATATATCCACGTGTATTATTTTAATAGGCGAGGCCAAAATTTGATGTCAACAGTATGTATAAAAAAAATATTTCTAATATTAACAAGTTTATTATTACTTCATATGACATATATAAAGTGAACTAAAATTTGTTATTTAATATTATTAAAAAATATGAGTTTAGTCTCAAGTTGTTTATACAATAATATATAAATGTATATATTATAAAATATATTTAGTATAAAATAATCTAAATAGTTAGTGGTATGTTTATCGGTCATGGGTTAAGAATACTATTCTAAACAAATACAAATATATAAGTAAATAATTAGTTTCATGATCAAGTACATACGATTTTAAAAATGACAAACCAACGAGTCATTTGAACAACCATGTAAATTATAATATTATAAAGAATCAAAATATGAGTTATGTGTCGAACTGCCATGTAAACTATAAGTCTAGAAAGAAAAATTAATATCTCTGTTATCTATATATGAAGAAGTGTGTGCTCTTCAAATGATGACAAGTGTCCCATTGTGCCATTGTTAGAACGTAACAAGTGTCCACTTTTTATTACAGTTTTGCCATTGTTTTAGCTTTATTTTTCTCACTTTATTTTCGTCCTTTTCTTGACTTATTATTGCACTTTGTATGCCTTTATTTTATTTTATTTTTTTAATTCAGACTAACTTAAACGAGGTCGTTTTTGTCTACCTTAATTGTTAAGAGACGGTACACAAATTTTCGTTCTTTTACCGGAATTCCCGCAGGTCAATCAAGATTCAAGACTAGACTGCACTTTTCTTCCCTTTGGCAGAATTCTCACACAAGACGGGAGCAGGTAAACAACTTCCCTTGCCACAAACCCTACCCAGCAATACTCTCATTTCCAATTCTCAAAACTCAAAAGGAAATTGTTCACGCTAGGATGATGACGCGTAGGACGACGACCGCCAACCCACCGACTAAGCCAGTTTCTCGATCCTCTCGACCATCTCCGGCGACAGCTTTATGACGGGCTTCTTCGCGTTCTCCCTACGGCGTCGCTCAAGAACTACACCCGCCAAGACGCACGCCTGCCGTGCTTTGAGTTTGGCCTTCCTCATCATTTTGGGTTGGAGCACTGATTAAGACTAGAGGGATTGGTTAAGGTAATCGTGTATCTATGTATGGAACATTTTGTTTTCTTTTCTTTGTTATCCCCCTTTTCGCACTCTGAACATATTGACACTTTTATTGTTTGATTTTCTGCTGGAACTAAAATATAAAGGATTTAATAGTGGACGAAGGTACCTCTTGATCATGAGAACACAATTTTTCCACCCCTTCTGCCACTGTTTTGATGCCTCCAGACTAAATACCGTCTTTTTTTCCATTATCCCCAACCGAACAAAGCATCTTGTCTCCCGACAAGAACCGAACCCGAGGCCCTCGACAAATCCCGGAGTAAACCGAAATGCAGGTGCCCAAACCCGCAAGCTGCCAATGGGCTGGTTTGAATTGTATTTGTTGGATTTATTTTTTTGGGCCTCTTTTAGGTTTCTATTTTGATGAGATAAAATGATCTGTGACAGAAAGTTCTTTCATTCTTCATCAGTCAAACTCTAATCAATCCTTCTCTCTCCGACTTGCCGCTGAAGCCAATCTCACAGGAGTTGAAAAAATTCATCCACAGTACCTTAGGATGGCCGTTGCTGGACTAATTCCCTGCCTGGTGGAGCCCGTTCCTGTAGTCCATCTTTGAGTCCAACATCTCTGCCATGAAGATGAAGGCCTACAGATATGCCGGTGAGTGGTTCCATCTCCGTTCGTGTCGCATATCTTTTTTTTTTTAAGTATATTGTTTTTGTCTGATTATTGTTTGCTGTTTATTTCTGTGTTTTCTCTAAATTGTGCTTCTCAGCCTTTTTTGTTGTGAAATTAGGGTTTTTGTGTATGTCTGATAATTAGTCCCTCCGTTCATAGATGCAATTTATGAAAGTGAAACATGTGTTCATATGGTATATGAAACTTTGAATCACAATTGGGGTCTTTTATCATTAGAATAAATTTGAAATATAGCATTTGTGTTGGTTTCTTTCAAAGACTTATCAATCTTCTATGATTGGTTAGTATTATTATTATGCAACTTTTCTTTTAGCTATCATCCACTGGTGACAGGCTTATAGTCTCAAGTGATGGTGTTTGGGACCCTTTATATGCCGAAACAGCTTTCAAGTGCTGTCGAGGAATGCCAGCTGATGCTGCAGGTTCACAGATTGTCAAAGTAACATTTTTTTACATTATTTTAACTTGTTTCTTCTTCCTTTCTTTTCATTTTTACTTCGTAATTTATATATATATTTTTTGTTTCTTGCAGGAAGCTGTGCAGGTTAAGAGTCTTCGAGACGACATGACGTGTATTGTTGTGGTTATCGAATGTGATTATTTCTGTGAGAATGCGATATTTTTGAGAATGTGATTATTGTTCCTTTAATATATATGATTGGATTAATTTTTCTGGTAGAATGTTGTTGTAGTTATTTTTACCGGAGTTAAATCGAAAGATTCAACCCCCGGGTCGTATCTCAAGGAAGATTAGCCGGATTATTTTGTATGTATATTCAATCACAAAAAGAGAAATTAAATCCTAACACTCTAATTCAATTGGTGTGGTTTCAATTATCAACTACGAATTCTGAAAATAAGCAAAACACACTTCAAATTCACGAAATTAAGATAATGGTTGGAGAGTTGAGGAATTAGAGATATTCGTTTATGGTTCTCCTGCAATCAATGAGCACACAGTCGCTCGGTTAAGGAATCAAATAACCTGCTTTCTTAGAGGTTCATTCTCAATAACATCTCGTAACAAGAGAGCAAACATGAACAAATTGATAATTGACACACTTAACACATAGGCAATACATTAACAAACATGCCTATTCCAAACGAGCCAAGATCAATCAATTCCTCCCCTTCCGGTTCTACAAATCGATTAATTAGATTAACATGTTGATCAAGCATCTAACCCTAGATTAAGTACAACTCGAATGGATTGAACGACAAACAAGCACATGAATCTCAATCGAACCAAAACAAATATCTTCTATCCCTAACGGAATGATTTAGCCACACATATTTATATCAATCTCAACAATAGATTTAACACGATAATTCACATCCATAATCAAATGAAAGGAAATCATAAATAATCCAAGTCAAGAACGAAATCAAAATACAAGCCAAACCGTGTTCGTTTCGGAGTGCCACAATCTCAAAAACTCGAATCCAAGCAAAATCCAACCAATTCAAAGTGAAAAATGGAAGAGAACATGTTCTAATATGAAAAGGTACGAAATATAGTCTGAAAGATGTGTCCAACAAGCCCTAAGCTCGACTTCTAATATCCTCAATTCAAAAACCCGTCGAAATCGCATTGCTGAAAAATAGACCCTAGCGCCGCTAAGGTCGGGGTTAGCAGCGCTAGCTCGGGGTTAGCGGTGCTAACTATAGTAATCCTTGCAGGTCGCAGCTTTAGAAGCCCGCTAGGTGGGGAAACGCCGCTAGCTAAGTACCCTTAGCGGCGCTAAGGCTTGCTTCTTCACTATTTTGCTGACTCGGAGTGGCTATTGACCTTCGGTTGACTCGTGGGCTCATGGCTAATGTATTTCGGGTTCTGCCCGATATGGAAACGCTTGTGCTCAACAATCGGTCAAACCTAACACCTGAAATCACCACAACCGGAAAGACACGAAAAATAAGGAAAATAGGAAGAAAAATACGAAAATACCAAAAACACCAAAATAACAAGAAAATACAAGAAACAACTAGGCGGACCGGGAAAACCTAAGAAGCGACCTAAAATGGGGGAAAAGACAAACAAAATACTAACACAAATAGCAACAAAAATGGGACAAACAAATGTGATTATTTTTTACAGTAAACAATTTCCATCAACTTTACTTTACATCCTGCAGTTTTTTATGAGTGCAATTTCTTTTTGCTTTGTATTGACGATTAAATGTCATTGCAGGAGCTGTCATTGAGTCTCTCTTCCCACAGTGAGTTCTCATTTCATTTTATATTGTGCAATCAGTGCTATATTGTTTAAAGCCATACCTTCTATTGTTTAAATCCCTTATACTATATGGTTGCAGTTTCAACAAAATATTTGAATTTTGGTGATTTCTTGAATTCAATGATATAAACAAGGGTAAATGCTAAAAGGATCCATAAAATTGTGTATGATTGGATTGCTCTGAGGTTTTATTATTATTTCATATCTTTTTTCTTTGCACTAACTCCACAGTGAATTATGGTAGAAGTCCATGTGATTAAGAAACTTCATGAAGCCATTCCATTCACATGAAATTATTGTCTACTTAACATGTAGAGCTGGTCATAGTACTTTCTTATACAGTAATGTTTTCTTTCTTTCTGTATTTTTGATTTATTTTCCTGGTTGTGTCTGCACTTGATAGGAAGATTTAGAGAGTGAGTAATGGTGAAGGTCCCAGATTTATCCATTTCCAAATGGGTACAAACCTTTTCAGGACATGTCGAAAAATGCAAGTGTAAGTCCTCGTGAGGTTATTTCTTTTATAGTATAATTGATATATTATTACATATTTACTAAAACAACATTTGTTTGTTAATTATTTAATTTTGGCTACCATTGTCGGATTAGGTTTCAATGCTGACTGTGATTGTTACGGATGATTATTTAGGGGAAAATGAATGATTTCTGATTGCGATTGTTGTGTTGGATTGAATCGATCTCTCAGTTACAGCAAAACATGGATCTCTTTTTCAACACAAGGAACAACTTATTAACGACAATTATGAGCGAGTTAGTTTCTCTCTATCTAGATAACACGATTTTGGTTTTCCTTTATTGTCTGTTTTGGTAGTTCCACCGCTTGGCTAAGGGAATTCAAGAGATTGGATTTCTACTTCGTGGCCCAAAAGGGAAATAGTTTGATCTCTAATCCCCCCAATTCGCTGGAAGACTTTATTCCACAACAAATGAAGCTCTAGATCAAAGGTAGAAAGCCAGTTTGGCAGAGTAGAGGAAGGAGAGTAGGCAAGGGAAAGATAAAAAGAGCTGACAACCTTTGTGCCTAATGTATTCCTGATATATGAAATATCTAGCCGCGATTTATTATTAAAAAGGGAAAGGCGTGAACTTTGATTTGAGCCGGGTATCTGAGATGGATCAGGCTGACGCCCTACATAATTTGAGCAACATTTACAAACATTTTGATTGTTTTGATTATTCTTCATGTATGGAAGACCTAAAATGGCTATTTACTTGGACAAACAATTTCATCGACATTTTAGACTAAATTTGAGTCTGCCGTGCGTGCACGGCGTGAGACAACTAATATATATGTATATATATATATATATATATATATGTAGAAAAATTAAAATATAAATAATATATATTATATAAAAAATGTAACAATAATTTTGATGTAACTAAAAATTAGTAAATTTTATAACATTAAAATAATATATATTGCATATATTTTCAATTGAATGTCGGTATAACAATTTTTTAAAAAAATAAAATTAGAAATAAAAAGTTAAGAGAGAGAGAAATATTTTTGTTAGTATTATCTATTAATATGTTTGAATATGTTAAATTTACATATTCCTTAATCTAATGAAATCTAAAATGCTAACTATTCTATAATGGGTTAAATAAATATATAAATATTGTATTAAACTATTATATATTATAATAATAAAATAAAAAATTAAAATGACTTAATATCCAAACCATTTTTATATAAATCAATATTCCTTTATTCCTTAATTTATTCTATTTATCATGGGCTAGTTGAAACTACAAAGAGATCTCCAAATTTATAACGTGACTGAATCCTAGTTTAAGTAGTAGCAACGAACGAATTCAAATTGAGAAATTACGACGGATATCTCACATTGCTCAATTGACTACTCATATAACTACAAGCATGCAAATGCAATTCAAGTATAAAACCAAAGTTGAATCAGAAAACGCCGTCTCCTTCACAAATGAAGAGACAAGTCGAGCTTCTGATCCTCACCGCCTTTACTCAAATCAGACCGCAGATTTTCCTCTCCTCTCCCAATCCTCTGCCAATCCACGAATTCCCCTTCAAAAAACTTCATCGCGATGTTTTCCAGCCGCGCCGCCGCACTCGACCCGAAACTCCGGCCGTCCGCCCCCTGAAACTGTCGGAAACTCCCGCCGTGGGCAGCGAGGTAAGGGTTTAGAACACCGATCGGAGGGAAGAACAGGTGAGGTGGCGGCGGCGGGGCGGCGGCGTACTGGCGAGTCCACCTGCTCCTCCGGGCGGCGGTTCTCTCTTTCTTGTGCGCGTTTTGGTGGCCGCCCAACGCTTGTGAGGTGTGGAACTTTCGAGAACAGTAAAGGCAGGGGAATGATCTGTCCTGCCCATCTGCCTTATTTGCTGACCCCTTCGTAATTACCTTTTCACCCTCCATGTTTTTTTTCCTTGAAAATTTCAACAAGTTATTCTGAGTAATCAAGATGAATTTTATTTGGTGATGGGGAAAATAATTTAAACAATCCTTATGGAGGGCAAATAATTGCAGAGGTTAAAGTACAGAAAGAGAGCAAGTAAAAAGCTTAGAGTTTGAAGCTTGGCTTTGTTCTTGTAGTATTTATTTGGGAACCATTTGAATTTTTAAAAATATAAAATAAAATGCAGAGAGAGAGAGAGAGTGAGAGAGAGAGAGTTGAGTAGCAGTTTGCATGGTTAGGAATATGTGAAGAGAGATGTCTGTGCGTATGCAGACCACTGCAGAGTCTCAATTTATGGGTAACTGTGAACATTACATATTTGCCAAGAAAAAGAGAGAGAGATAAAATCTTGCAACTGGTCCTCTATTTCTTTTTCCTGCAAAAGCTGAGTGATGGGTAAGAACAGAGAGAGATAAATGTTGTAATAAAGACTTGGAATGTGAAATTAATACATCCTCTCTAACACTGTAACATTGATGACCAGTTGGTGTTTTGTTTACCTTCCACAGGCGACTTTGGTGCTTTTCCTTTCATTTCACTTGTTTGCTTTTGTCTTGTTTCATTTAATTGGTAAATTCTAGATTAGGTGTGTTCCATTGAGCAATTATTGTAGGGTTATCAGGTTTCACCTACAGTTTTTAAATAATGATCCGTTGCCCAATGGAACATTGAACTTATTGAGTTCTATTTTCTAGGGTGTCATTCTGTATCTGAAAATCGAGAAACGAATCTGACCAATTTTTTTCATGGTAACAGCCGGTAAATTTTCAATCGAAAAATTACTTGGGAATTTGTTTTCATTTTTTTTNAGTTTAAACTCAAGCTCATGTTTACAGGCATAATCAACTGATTACAAAAGTCATCATAAACTCCTAAAACAATTTCTTTATGATTCCTACTCAGTAAATTTGAATCAGACCACTCCCTTAGAAGATCGCCATCTTGCTCAGCTACACCACTTAAAGAAGTTTGATCACATGATAGGAAAGAGGCTACCTTCTTGGAAAACTTCCAATCTACAATTTGTCTCCTCAGCCTTTGCACTTGTTTCTGTTGTTCTTGAAAAGGCACCACTTTAGTAAATACCTTCCAATCTCCCAAAACCTTATCAGCCACTTCCTAGCTAGCCACTTATTCTCAAACAGCCAAGAGTTTCTGGTTTTCCAAAGCCACCAAAGTAGGTAAGTTGACAAACTTATCCTATCTTTGATGATTTTGGAGTTCTGTGTATATTTCACTCCACCAATCTTGAAAATTACAACTCACTTCCTCAATTTTTTGCCTATTGAATCCTAGTAACTTCCAGCATATTTTTGTCTTCTTGGACTTAAAGAAGATGTGATCAATGTCTTCACTTTCCTCCCCACAACTCCTGCAAATTTCATCCATCTTCATGCCCTCTTCTTCAGCAGTAGTGCACCAAACCCGGTCCAGCCCGGTCTAGTCCGGCCCAGTAGCGGTCCAAACTGGTCCAACTCAGTCCATAAGCCCCAGCGAGCCCACGGTGACCCCGAATCAGTTCTACTTAGCCACCGGAGGTCCGAGACTGTTCGATGTGAGCGACAAGTGACAGGATATGCGAGACACAAGACACGGTCATAGTCCGGTGATGGCGAGGCCAAATCCGGCAACCAAACGGACTCTGAGGTTTAGACGATTTCCAACAGCAAAAATAAAAAACGTCTCAGAGTCGGCAAAAGTTTAACTTATAAGTTCTAATCCTAACAATAGATTCCACTGTGTTAAGATTTGTCTTTAATAGCTTCAAATGTGCACGACGACGACATTCCTCATAGAACCCACCATTCATTAGCTATTACAACATTGTCCAGGATCTACCTTTCGGGAACAAAAGCAGCTTGAGATTAGGAAATGCAAACATTGAGGGCACCTTTTAATCTATTAGGTAGGATTTTAGCTATCAATGTGTAAGTGATAGTGCACAAACTTATGGGCCTAAATTTTGAGGCTTTCTGAGGGTTTTTTATTATTGGAATAAGGGTGATTACTATATGATTGGTAACTTTTGGGATACAACCAGTAATGAGTTTACAGCGTTACAGAGATCATGTTTAATGATATGCCAAGAAGAATGGAAAAAATAAGGTGAGAAACCATCAATACCTGGAGCTTTTTGGGACCATGTCCCATAGAGTTGGCTTGATTTCTTGTTCATCTACATTTCTAGTGAGGTTCAAGTTCATCTACTGGGTAATTGACTTAGGGATACCATTTAGCACATCCTCTTCAAAGCTTGGGTTTTAGAAACAACTTCTGGAAGAAGTCCAAGATCACCTACAAGGATTCCTCTCTGTCCTTACACTTTTCCCCATTTCTCTTTATCAAATTCTCAAGGGTGTTCTTACTTCTTCTCTGCTTAACACAGGCTTGGAAAAACCTAGTGTTATTGTCTCCTTCTTTGAGTCATTTATGCCTAGATTTTTGCTTCCAATAAATATCCTCTTCTTGATATGTCTGGTGAACTTGCTGCTTACATTGCATCCACTCATCCCAATTCCCAGACCCACCCTACAGACCTAGAAGCTCAATCTCAGCATTGCAACTTTAAATAATCTTTGGTGAGTTAGTAGATTGATTAGCTAGCCAACCCAACAAACCCAAGTTGACATTTCTGAGCCTTTTCTGAAAGCTGAACATTTCTCTTCCATTTACTGCTAACTCCCAGGCTTTTTTAACACACTCCTCAGAACCCTCTGCTTTTGACCACCTACTGTCAAAACAAAATAATTTTCTACCCTTTTTCTCCAAGCACTGTCTCCATCAGAAAAAGGCTGGGATCAGATGATATCATAGGAACATGCAGAACAAAAGACTTAGGGAACTTAAGGAGCCACTCAGGGGATAACAAAATCCTATCAAGCTTTTCCTCAACAAAAACTAAACTTTGTCTACCATTAGACCAAGTGAAGGGATGGCCTACACTAGGGCTTTCTACCACACCAAGATTCTGAACAAACCCCCTAAGCTTTGAAAGTTGGCCTCACTTCTTGATAAACCACTTATTATTTCCCATTGTTAAAGATATCATTGAAGTCCTCTCCTAGAAACCACAAATCCCCCCCCATCTTAAGAAATGTCTACCCAACAGATCCCACTGAGTTTGCCTTTCCATAGGATCAACACTATCATAGAGAAAAATAGCCCGATCAAAAACAAACTTCAAGGCTAAAACAGTTATTGACAATCTTCAAGACTTTAATCTTAGAGGACCAACTCAACAAAAGACCTCCCTTATCACCCACAGGAGTGACATACTCCCAATTATTAGCAAAAGGTAAGTTTTTACAAATAGTATCTACGAAATCTTTGGAAAACAAAATATGGGAGGTAGGTTTTTAAATTTTCCTTCCACTGGAGGGTCCTTACAAAATCTATACAATTCCACACCATAACTCTCATATTTTACTTTGGGATCAGTTGTGGCTGGTTTCCTCCACCATATTTTCACCAATATCAGTTATCAATTTTTGCTTTTTTGAATCAGTTGCTTTTTGAGATAGCTCTAAACATTTTTCTTCCTCGTTTTTTCTTTTTAGTTTTTGCTTACTAAATTGGTCTTGTTGGACCACAAATTTCATTTCATCACAATTTTCTTTGCAAGCTACCCCTTTACTACTAGTTATTCTGGTAAATGTTTTCTGTTTTTTAAGACTAGGGGTGGTAGATTTATTTTGGTTCACTAGCACATTAACAAGATTACTTAGAGTTAAGCTTTGCCCCTTACAAGAATCTAAGCCCATTGACTCAACGAAAACATCCTTACCCTTCAGACTATCAGTATCTCCTTTAGTACCACCCACTTCTCCTTTACCCCAATCCCTAATTCCCCCCTGCTTATTTGCTAAAAGACTACCCTCAACTAACTCTAGTCTCACCTCATCATTATCTTTTAACAATTTTTGACCCTTTCCTTCGCTAGGACCTTCTTCTCCTCTCTCATGAGTTTTGGCCTTCTTAGATTAAGAGTTTACCTTTCCATTACGTAGTGTTTGGTTCGAGAGAAATGGAAGGGAGGGAAAGGGAGGTGAGGGAAATGTTTAATTTTCTCTTGTTTGGATCAATTTTTTGGACGGGGAGGGGTTACAATTTTCCCTCCACTTACCTCCTACAAAATCCTTCCAAACAAGGTAAAATCATTTTCCTTCACCTCCCCTCCCCTCACCTCCCTTCCATTAAAATCCCTCCCCTCTCTTTCCTTTACTTGAATCAAACATAGGCTTAGTAGAGCTAGAGGATCTTTTCTCTCTAGAGTCACTATTAACCCTAAAAGAGCTCCTTAACCATTCCCCAAATTTATCGGTTCTTAACATATTCTTCTGAATACCAGTCTTTTTAAAATCACAAACCCTATTACTATACCCTATTATGTCGCAGTAGAAACAAAAGGTAAGAAAATTTTCATACCTAAATTATGTCCAGTGCTCCTCTGATCCCAACATTATAAAACTTCTCCTATGTATAGGCTCAAGCATATTAATTTGAGCTAAGATCCTTACTAGTCTGCCGTTCACACTCCAAGCTCCTAAAATCATTACATCCTTTATTGTCTCAAAAACCTTACCCACTTTTATCCCTATCTCTGCTGAGATCCAATTGAAGGGCAGATTTTGAATCTGCACCCACAACTCCACTAGCAGTTCTTCATCTTTGAACTCAGTTTCTCCTTTCTTCCATTCCTTGAGCAGCAGGTATTGCCCATCAAATGACCAATTTTTACCTTTAATAACTCAGGACTTGTCGTCTTCAGTTTGAAACAAGAATTGGAAACGATTCTTTCCCAGACTCTAACCGAGAAAGGTCTGTTGGTCCGCCATATGACACCCATAGTTGTCTTAGAAATAAGATGTTGATTAACCAAGTTCCTCTCTGTTGGAAATCAATTCTGTCCAGCTGCTTCAATCTTAGCCCTTGATCATGATGATGATGGCAAGCATAAAGA